TTAGGATATGATTTAGAGTTTCTTTTCGAGTTTATTTACGTTTCTTTAGGGTTTCATTTGGGGTTTCTTTGGGGTATCGCTGTCTGCTTCTTTAGGATGTCATTTAGGGTTCACTGAAAGTGTCTTGACGGTTTCATGTAAAGTTTCTTCAGGGTTTCATGTACGGTTTCTTCAGGGTTTCATGCAGGCTTGTATTCCCCAAACAGTGTGTCTACACTGAGCGGTTCTTACGGTAGCTGTGCAGGCCCGTGCTTGATCAGGGTGCTCATTCTGGGCCCGAACATTTTTCTTGTAAATATCCGTCTAAAGTGTTTCTTGTGAAATTTTGAAATGCATTTCGGCCGCGCAGGCTCGCACAAAGTGTGGTCACGTCCGCGGGTTTGGCCTGCGGCATTTTAGGCTCTTGTAAAATGTTGACGTGCATTTCGACTGCGCAGGCTCGCACAAAGTGTGTGTCTGCATTCTGGGCTCAATCTGGGCCGTAGGATTTTTCCCGTAAATTTTTGTAGGAACTGGCTCTTGTGACATGTTGACGTGCATTTCGACAGCGCAGGCTCGCACAGAGTATGGTCCTCGGTCTTGGGACCGGTTCTCCTCCTCAACATCATCATGCCCCACATCATCATTTTCCTCCTTCTCTACATCATCATTCTCAACATAATCATCTTCCTCCCCCTTCACATCGTCATCCTCAACTTCATCATCCGCCACCTCATCTTCCGCAACATGATCCTCCCCCACCTCATCTTCCGCCGCGTTATCATCCTTTTCATCATCATCTTCCTCAATATCATCATCCTCATCCTCCTCAACATCATCATTCTCACCATCAACATCCTCAACGACATCATCTTCAACTTCATCATCATCCTCCTGCACCTCATCATCATCCTTCTGCACCTCATCATCCTCAACATACTCATCATCCTCATCATCATCATCAACTTTATCACAACCTATCCTCCACCCCCCCACGCTGTTTGGTGCCTGTTGTCGCGATAATGAGGGTTTCATTTAGCGTTTCGCTAGGGTTTCAGTTAAGGTTTCATTTGCGGTTTCCTTAGGGTTTCACTTATTTTTTTTTCTAATTTACGGTTTCATTTAGGGTGACATTTTATTTTTTTTGGGATGTCGGTTCGAGTTTATTTTTTAATTTCATTTAATCACGATTTCTTTGGCGTTTCATTTGAAGTTTGATTTAAGGTTTCTGTAGGGGTTCACATCGGGTTTCATTTAAGTGTGATTTAGGGTGGCATTTTTGGATGCTTTGGGATGTCACTTAGGGTTTCTTTGGGATGCCATTGAGCGTTTCATTTAGTGCTTCTTTAAAGTTTCACTTAGGGTTTCCTTAGGGTGTCACACAAATCATCTCACACAGATATAGTTGGCGACCAGATTCGACAAGTGTCCTGAACAATTATTTTCAAACCTAAAAGAAAACTAGTTAGGACACTTGATGTTGAAAAATGTTGCATTTTTTTCACACAAAGATGCATATAAACTCAAAGGTAGACTTCTGACTGCATGCAACTATTGTCAAACACAATTTAAGCAAACCTAGTTGGAAAACACAAGTCAACAAGTGTCTTGAAATACGGCCTTAACAACTTTGATAACAAAAAAGGAATTAGGACACTTGGTTGAAAACACCTCTCAATTCTTCCTACCACAGCATGCAAAAAAAAACTCATATTACGTCCGTATTTTCTGTGCAGCTTACATGTAGCTTATTTGATTTTACATGCAATATAGTATGTGAAGTTATGAAATGCTGTATGCAAACTACATCAAACTACAATGGTACACATTCGACAGAAGTGCGGCCAAAAAACAAAAACCAAGTGAAACCAAAAACCAAAAAACCAACAAAAACCAAAAACCAAAAGCGAAATGAACATGCAAATCGGAGATGTTAGCTCCAAAATGCAGCAAATAACATGCAAATCAGAGATGTCGGTTCCAAACTGCAGCAAATAACAAGGGAAACTGCCCCAGACTGAAAAAACACAAACAATAAACAAAAACAACAACGAATCCAAAAAAATATACCTTGCATAGAAAAATGCAACCAGAAACTACAAGACACAAACCAGAAGCCGAAGGAACCAGAAACCAGAAACGAACCAAAAACCAAAAAACCAGAACCGAAAACCAGCCAAATAAAAAACAAAAACACCCTTCCATTTCTATCTATTCTAACATTCACCTGCTATCTAACGTTGTGCCTGCCATTTTTTCCAATATCTTATCCGGATACCCAGCCCTCACCAAGGGGCGGGTTCAGTACTGGCCTTCAAAGTGTGGTCTACAATAGGCTTGTTGGAGTGTCCAAAACAATCTCCTCAATGTAAGCATCTTGCTATATCCAACACTGCGTGCTGACAAACAATATCTAGGCAAAAACTTTGGGGTCAAAGCAGGTCCATGTAAAACGCTCTGATTCGCATTTTCCGTCTGTATCGAGATGTTTCTTTGCCAGCCTCAAAGCGTCAGCCTCTCCAACTTGATCCCGCCCAACATCATCCAGCTGCCATGTGGCTCCTCTACTGTCCTCTACAGTAGTATCTGTTCTGTTGCAATGCTATTCCACTTTTAGTCCATGTAGTGAAAAGCAAACAAAAAATATATAAACACGCATGGATGGGAAAAGGCACTGGGGTTGCTTGGTGAAAATGGTAGATTTCCTACAAATAGGTTTTCAATTTTTTTCTCCCATATTCTTCGTATTCGATCCTTTTGTGGAAGTGCCTCCAAAAAACATATCCATATATAGGCTATAAAACCAGAATCTCTAGTTTCGATGCTTTGGACAAAAAGAAAAAATGAAAAAACAACACGCTATCTATTGAAGGGACAATATATTAAAAAAAAAATTGGAACAACCCCAGCGAAATCAAAAACAAACTTGTTTGTCGTGCACGCATCTTAATTCCCGTGATCTATTTGCAAAACGTCTGCGAAGGGCCGTGCGAACGACAGTGGACTCGGAAGTTTCACGAAAGCTTCGCGAAAGCCTTCGTCGGCAAAAACGTAAAGTTGCGGTGAAGGGGACCATAGGCGCCCGCGAACGCCAAAATGCGAGCGGCAAGAGCGTAGCAAAAATGTTGACGAAAACACCGAGGGGCTCGGCAGGAAAAACAGGTTCATGTCATTGCTCCTTCGAGGGAACTAACGGATACTAACAGACTGATTTAATTATCAAACATTTCCCCGCGGACCAATTTTTGTCGGGGTCCTGCGGTCCTGGATATATATTTTTGTGGGTTTTGCGGGTTGAATTGGATGAACAACTATAGGTTGGCCATGGCAAAAAAATATAGGACTTGACGAAACATGTATTCAGTTTTGCTTGCGATGACCTGGGTTGCTTCTAGTTAATTTGCCGGTACTCTGCATGGGTTCTCTCAAATTTGGGAGTCTGAATTTCATTCATTCACCCATTCACTCGTTCACCATTGTTTCACCAAATATTGTTCGTTACTTTGGACCTTGCATCAGCATCAAAAAGGAACACATCATCATGGGTTCTTATGGGTTTTCATTCTGAATCCAGCGTGAGAGAGAAGGCGAGTGTTTTTACGGACCAGGCCCTAGCTCATCTCCTTAACTGCAGGGGTGGGGTAGTGGCCCGCCTGTCAGCCTACTGTTGCACGCAGGTATTGAACCGCATCTTATCTACTAGACCATACCGGCCCTCTTCAATCTAGCGTGGAGTGAAACAAGGTGACGCAATCAGCCCTGCTTTCTTTAACGCAGCTTTGGACGCAACAGTGCGCAAATGGAAACTTTATGTGACGCACCACGGTCTTGATATTGGAGCTGGCAAGAGGCTTGTTGACATTCGCCACGCTGATGATTTGATGGTATATGCTCATGCCGTGGAGGACTCAGCCCAAATGATTGAAATGTTGATAGTGGAACTCGACAAAATGGGTTTTTAGAATTGACATAATTATATGTCAAACATTTATTTAAAAAACAACGCCGCCTTTTAAACACCAAGGGAGTTCTTTTGGTAGGGCGTTCTTAAATATATAGTTTTTCCTTGCTGGATGCTAGAATTTTAGATTTCTTGCAAAATTCCGATTGTTTTCCATGGTGATGTTGGCTACTGTGTTGGGTCTTTGTAGTTACCTAAAACATCTAGAACGTTTATAGTATTTCATGCAAGTATAATATTACATTAATTATTATGGGTTCCTTGCACTAATTCGGCAGCAATTGCAAGTAACTCAAAAAAATGGCGGAGGTTCCTGGAATAGTTGGCGGGACGCCCTGTCAAAATTTAAATTTGTCACGTGTTAAGATTTTGTTAATTTAAATTACTATCGTGCGAGCTATCATAAAAACATCCCAGAACGCTGCAGCATACTGTGAAACAATGACTGCCCGAAACAAAAAATGCAAAAACAATCTTAAAAACAATGTGTTTCATTATTGTTTAATGGCATGCACTTTTTAGAACACCCCGTGAATATGCACTGGCTTGTGGCTGACTGCATTTTATTTCAAAAAATGTGTGCAAAATGGGCGTTTTTTTAAAAATAGAATCAATCGGAGGCAACTTAAACATATAAAATTCCTTGAAATAAAAATCACCAAATGGCAATTGTGCGGAATTAAATCACGACCCTGAAACATTTTTTTAAAGAAAATGCATCAACCTTCTTTGGTTTTGCTTGATTTTTATTCAATACTTACATAATTTCAAGTGCTGTTTGCGAAACGCATACTCCTTAATTAGAATGAATTTCTGTGTCAAATCGTTGGGATGTATATGGGCAACCTAATTTTTTTTGCTATAGTGACGATGGGTTTACATGATCTGGTTATGTTTTTCAATCTTTGAAACAACATCACAAATTTATTCTTGCCCGCCACTACGAAACACAATCAAAAACATGAATGTTCAACATTGTTTTTTTTTTATTTGGTTCAAAAAGGTGCGGACCCGAAGGTACGCCCAAGAACAGTGCGTTGTGCGCACGCGTCCTTAGACGTTACTGACAGACACACGTGTGAAAGGCTCGCAACGGGCGACAAAATCGCCGCGATCCCTGATGGGTGAGCTGATCAGCCCCACCGGGCTCTGCACAGAGATCTGGAAAGTCGGCCGCCGTGATGCTTTTAGCAACCCCAGACGAAAGCCTTGAAACAAGTTTCTGTGCTAGCTCCAACCCATAGGCCTGGAATATCTCTGTAGAGATCGCCGGCCACTCTGGCAGCCTAGCCGATGTCCTCAAGTGTCCACTCGAAACGGGCTTCTTCACGGACACCGAGCTCAAGGCGGCTGAAGTCCACGAACCATTAATATCCAAATACTGGATCGTGGGATTTTGGCCAGCCGGACGCACAACATTTTTGAAGCGCATGTACGTTAACATTCCACCCCACCCCAGCCCAACCCTCATGATCAGCGTAACATGAATGTTACCACCCCACCCCACCCAGCCCCCATGATCAGCGTATATCAGCGTAACATCATCCGCGTAACATGATCATCCCACCCCAGCCCGCCCCAACCCCCATGACCAGCGTAACATCATCAGCGTAACATGAACGTTAACATCCCACCCCACCCCACCCCAACCCCCATGATCAGCATAACATCATCAGCGTAACATGAACGTTGACATCACATTCCACCCCGCCCCAACCCCCATGATCACCGTTAAAAACTGCGCGCGGGGTGACACAACAGGGGGACGTATTGGGCTCGCTCTTTTAACGCAGATCCTGAAAGGCTGCGGTAGCACATGTTGAGCTACAAACTAAGTGAAAAGAAGACGTGTGTGAAACTTAAGACGTTGTAAGTTACAACCTTTACCTGTTTGACCTGGAAACCTCTACAAACGCTCGCACGCCCCTTAAAGGTTGGGGCTTACTGTACACGCCTGCACTACGGACAGCGTGCAACTCCAAAGCCTGGGCCTGAGTTTCGAAGACCATCACTCCAAGGCAATGCCTGAGTGAAGCGTAACCTGGGGTTTTGCTGTGGACACTCCGGCCAACGATTGTAAGATGCAAATTTGGAGCGCATCAGCGGCGATTGCGAAATTTGGTTTCCACGGTGTGTTCGCTTTCGTTTTTGGGCGTTGGGACAACAAGGCTGCTACGAGTTCAATTTGTTCAGCGGCTTCAATCAGCGGCTGCCAGTCTGAGCTACTGATATCTACCATGCCTAAATCTTCAAGGCATTCACCCTTCAATTTGGCATCCAAATGCTTTGTGAGACAACTGGACGGGTTTGCTGTCCCAGCTACCTTGCCGACTTTCAACTGTTTTTGGTACACCAACTCTTGGACGTACAGCGCAGCTACATCGATGTGACGCATCCGGGAGCCTGCGCCCAAACGCTTTGCTGTTTGCAATGCGGTGCTGGCATCTGTCCAAACACGCGGTACGGCCATTTTTAAACCAAAATCCTCTTCACCAAGCTGTTTGATGAACATGATATCCCGCGCCCCTCGGCTCAAAGCTCGTGTCTCGGCTTCGCCAGAAGAGGTAGCGGGGAGGCCGGGCTGCGTTTGTGGGTGCGCTATTACGACACTGCCTCCTACGATTACTACACTGCAATCACTGGACCTACGTGTGTCAAGGCAACCTGCCCAATCGGAATCCGTAAAACCATCCACGGTCAAGATGCCGGAGGCTCTACTTTCGGGATTCAACGTGACAACTCTTGCGAGGGCCGGTTTGTGAAGGAGATAACGTCCTAGGGTCAGGAGATTGTCCCAATCTACTTCACGAGGATCCCGCATGTGTCGAGCTAATTCCTTTACTTCGAAACGGATGTCCCTCCGATCGATGCTGAGGTAGATTGCGCTTCCTACACATTTTGGGTACAGCACGGCTCGGTGTTCATCTACAGGCTTTGTGTTGTCTTCAGTTCGGGGGATTTTCTTTCCTGCAACCTTCGACGGCTTGGCGTACCAGAGGTCGAGGAGTGTGAGGATGTTGTCTCGGTGTTTGTCCTCAGGCAGGGTAAAGAATGCATCTTGGGTGCGTACTTTTGTCCTACCTAATACATTTACCTTTGTTCCGGGTGCTTCTACCTTACCTACCTTCATGCCCAGGAATTCGCCTAGACCTTGCTTGGACAACAGAAACTGCAGATCAACGTCTGCGGCTCCTACACGCAGATCATCAACATGGTGGAGAATGGTTGCACCGGTTTTGGCACAGGTGTACACAGTTGGGTCGCGCTTGCCCCTTTGGAACTGATAGCCTTTCGAGGCCATTTTCTCCGTAACTACTTGTTCGAACTCTTTGCGGTAGTTGTTCCCAGCCGGTCGGCGTCCATACAGGTTACCAACTAACTCCAGCACAACCTCCTTGTTCAAATCTGGTCCTTCGAACTTTGCTTGCACTTCAGGCGATTGCTGGTGTAGCCATGCTTGAAAATGTGGCTGGTATTCCGGGGGCATTCGGATGTGAACAGGGTTCCCTGCAGAGTCGCCGGAATCCCGTCCCAACAGGTATGCGCACCTGACGTCACCTGACCTTGTGTGCCAACCCTCTTGCAAACACTTCCGTTCGAGCAAAACGTGGGATTCTTCGTACGGTGTTGGTGCGAAGGTGTTGGTTTCCTCCTCGAGTTCTTCTCGCGTGTACTTGCGCTTTATGTCCGCACATGTGAACCTGCTGCGGTACGCGCCTCTTTTGATTTCATCCACCCATTTGTAATGGAACAGTTTCGATTTGCGGGACATTTCGCGTTTGAGCCTTGGAACAGCAAACTCTTTTTCAACCAAAGTTGCCATTTGCACTTCCCTTGCCTTTTCGACTTCTTTTGGGTCGAGTTGGGTGTCCAATAGATCCAATACGGATGCAATCTTGTTCTCCCAAGCGCCACTGCGCGCCCAGTCCTCGATTTTTCCAAGTGCGGCTGTGATTGTCCCAATCCTTTGGATTTTGGTCGGGGACTCACTTCCACCAGCACCTTGTGTGGGCGCCCGGGTCTCAGGGACTTCCACCCGTGGGACCTTCGTTGGGGAACTTGGTTCGTCACCTATTTCACGTTTGGGTAACGGCACGGCGATGGGAGATGCGGTTGGTTCGCCCTCAATCTGCTCATGTTGGCTTCCGCCATCACTCAACGGGATTTCAACCGGAGTGACTGGCGGTGTCATGCCGGGTGGACTTACGGACTCGGGCGGCGTCATCCCTTGGGGGGTCAACATCGGTGTCGTTGGAGTTGGTACGACGGAACTGGGGACTGGAACATTTTCAGCTGCCAATCGCATGTTCAACTCTTGGCTGGGCATGATCGCGATCGCGTGGTCGTCGTTGTCATCGCCTGGGCTCGTTTCCGATGTTGAATTTGCACTTGGGTCGCTATCACTCGCATTGCTGTCGTCATCGCTGTTTCCGTTGGACGGGGCAGTTGGGGGTAGCATTGGCACAACCTGGCGTGTTTCCGTTTTGATTTTGGGACGTGTTGCGGCTGTTAACGCCCACGGCAACCCGCGTGCGCCGTCCAGCAATCCCACATCGTGCTGCTCAGGTTGCGGCAGTCGACGGATAGACCGGACTGTCATCGCACCAGCATTGGTGAGGACAATTGCTGAATCATCGGCTTCGGTTCTGCCAGCGAAAATTCCTTTGAACCAACGGGGTTTGCTTTTGCTAACGGACTTTACATTGGGCACCTTACACATGACTACCTCACCAAATTGCACGATTGGCGACGTGTACTCGCGGCCGGTGACGATTTTGTATGCGGTCACGTTGTCATTTTTGATGTGATACCTAGCCCATACAAAAGCAACCCATTTGCACAACCACGGCACGATGATGTGATTGATGTCCAACGGCTGATTTGGATGTGGGTACTTTTCCCGAAGGGCGCACAACCATGTTCGCAACATACCAGCCATCATCCGATTCATGCCTTCCACGCCTCCTTGGCTTTGGTGACTGTAACGCGGGCTGGCCCTCAGTTGTACCTTGTCTGCTCCCAATTTTTGCTGTACTTGTTCCAGCAATGCACGCAATGGTTCCTCCGGATCATGTTGCAGGAGCACCTTGTTGTATCCAAGGCACGTGATCCATACCATGAGTGCTTTCAACACGTATGCGTCGACACCCTTTTGGCGTGCAAAGATCATGACTGGGAAACCTGACGATGTGTCAACGCCAGTGAGGACCGTTGCACTGCGACTTTCTTCCTCCACCAATTCGCCATCACGACTGAAAAATTGGTAGTCGATTTGGATCACGGGGATTTGTGCATCTTCGTGTTTGTTCGTTCGGACGTGCTTGTCTTCGGGTGCCTTTCCTGCAACGCAATGTTGGCACCAGGGGGCGAAATCTGCATGCGTGAGTTCATGCAATTGTCGCGCTTCATCCGTAGGTGTTGGAGGTTGCGGTAGGGATTGTGGCTCAACTGTTGGTTCCACAACTTCACCGTCCACGCTAGCGTCATCTGCCCGGATTTCGCGATCACCAACGTCGCTTTCCATGTCACCAACGGCTGCTACCAATTGTGCTGCGGATGCTGCGGCTGCGCTTGGTCGGTCTTCGTATGGCAGATAAAACCGCGATCCGAAACGTGGCAACTCAACAGTGTTCCCATCCGGAGTTACCAGGCACGAAACCTTACCAGAGGAAGAGCGGAAGAAATGCAGGTCGCAATCAGCGTCGTCCAAAATCCGGCAAAATGCCATGACGGGTTCCATGGTGTCAGTGATTTCCATTCGGAAAGTGGCCGGTACCACCGTGGTTTCTCCAAACGGTGTGGTTGCAGTGACCTGGGTTGTTGCTTGCATTTCGCCCTCGTGGTGGATAGGAGTTCCATTGACGGCCCACAACTCTTTGGTTTTGGTTGGGTCCACCGCAGCTTGTGGAAATGACATTTTGTTGGCACAACTTGTTGTGGCACCAGAATCAACCATGATGTACTTTGTTGTTTGCAGTGCTGCCACGCTGTTGTGCGGAGACGGCGTGACTGGTTGCACTTTGGTTTTCTCAACGGCCTTCGCCGGAGAATCGCCCACTGCAAAGCACATGTTCGATCCTGAGGATGTCACTGCACCCTGATGGGTCTTTTTGTTTTGCGCTGATGGGGGCTGAGGATTGCCTGCCTGGCCTTGGTTTGCTGTGACTTGTTTCAACGCATCGATTTGTTGTTGCAACGTCGATAAGACTGCAGGCACGGGTGTTTCGTCGTTTGCCGCGTCGATTGCATTTACGGAGTTGGATTTGGCGGATCCTTTCTTGTTTCCTTTGCCTTCACCTTTCGGGTGCGACCTGGCGTTGAAGAAACAATTTTCTGTACTGTGGTTTTTACCTTTCTCTGGACCGCAAATCGCGCAATACTCGCCTTTCGCATTCGATTTGCTTGGGTTTTGCTTTCCTCTGCCCTTGTCCTTGCCTTTCCCATCACCTTTTGTTCCTCCTTTGTTTCCACCTTTACCGTTTTGATTTCCTTTGTGTCCTGTTGACTTTCCTTTTTGCTTTGCTGCAGGGTCTGCAGCATCCAGTGCACCAACCTCCATGGGAACTGGCCCAGAGGTGTGCGCAGCGGATGATGTCGACGATGCGGCCATGGATCCAAAAGATGTTCCCGCACTACGTTTCCATAGGTTTTTCGATTTCAAATACTGCACTATGAATTCCCTCATCAATTTGTAAGACGTAAGGTTTGATGAATTCATGGCGATCTGGGGGGCTAACGCTTTTGGGGCCACTTCGGACAAAATTGCCAGTTTCAGGTCTTCGTCGAATTGTTTTGTGTACTCTCTTTCGTACTTTGCAATTTCTCCTTCCCATTCTTCCAAACCTCTTTGCCACAAGGTTTCTTTTGTCGGGAACGTGGGGTTCGACAAAGCTCTCAACCATGCAAACGGTTTGTGTTTATTTTCTGGCTCAAATCGGGCATGCATGCGTCGCCATAGTTCCAGACCGTTTCGTTCTGGGACTAACATGGCCATTGCAGGGATTTCGCCGGCTTGACACTGTCCGACCAAAATGGCGAACAAATTAGTTGACAACTGCTCATCGGCTTCAGTCATTTCGACTGTTGCCACCTCATCTCTTTCCAGCTCGGCTTTCCTCAGTAGATCTGGATACGTAGGATCCACTGTGCTGATCCACGTTGCAAAACCGAACTTGTAGCGCTCCCAGTCGGCATCCGTACCTTGGAAGGGATCCGGTGGGTTTACCAACTTGGGATTCAACGTTTTCTTTTGGGTTTCGGTTTTCCCCATTTGTGCAATAGCTGCTTGTGCAACTGACAATGCTGCTGTTGCTGTTTGCGTTTGTTGGTCTAACGCGTTTTTGGCGGCATCGAGTTCCAACCTTTGTGCTGCCAGTTCGGCTGTCAGCATTTGTACCTGATCAACTAACTGTTGCATTTGCTGTTCGGAAGTTGACATTGTGACAACAACTTGGCAACAATGCTAACAAGGCACGTGGCTCAAGCCTGATGAGTCACTCTCAACAGTTTCGGAGCCGGAGGTGCTCGTGTCAGATTGGGTTTGGTGTGAGGATAGGTCTTGGGAACTCCTTCCTTTTCACCTGACCTTTGTTCTCGTTTTGCTGCTTGCTGGATGATGCTTGTGTTTGTTCTTGTTCCTCACAAGCTTCTTTCCGTAGCCTGTGGATGCGCTTGCGAAGCTCTCGCTTTTCCAGCACCTTGGCGGACCTTTTGTTCGACCGCTTGTACTTGCCAGTCTGTGGGTCTTGTGGGCGCCGCCGACGTTTGTTTGCACTAGGCTTTGCTTTCGGGTGCTGTGTTGTCAACCTTTGGGAAGGTTGGTTTGCAGAAGTGTCCTTTCGAAAGGTTTCTTCTTGCAACTGTGCTTGTAGTCGCCGAGGCAACGGCGGTGGCGGGGGTGGCCAAGGTCGACCTTGCCACTCCGCCGTGTTGTCGGAACCTGGTGTTTCAGAGGCTCCGCGCTACCATGCGCGCGGGGTGACACAACAGGGGGACGTATTGGGCTCGCTCTTTTAACACAGATCCTGAAAGGCTGCGGTAGCACATGTTGAGCTACAAACTAAGTCTAAGTGAAAAGAAGACGTGTGTGAAACTTAAGACGTTGTAAGTTACAACCTTTACCTGTTTGACCTGGAAACCCCTACAAACGCTCGCAAACACTTTCCTCCGGGGTCGCTAATGCGGCCGTGAGCACAAAATTCTATAGAGGTACATTAGTGGTGATTTTTTGGCCTGAGTACGGCTGGAGCCGCATCTTTAGGCCATTCAAACGCTTGGCCTTAGAGAATGACAGTCTTTGGGCTATGCTACCTCTCTATTGTTGTCTCCATCTTTGCCAAGGATGCTGCCTAGGGAAAACTTGTTGCAGCACAAGTCCTGTAAAAAACTTGCCAATTTCTGTCTACCAGCAGCCAAATAACAATTACCAAGCAGTCGTTGAGGCTTTGATGACAACGGCTGCTTTGGACGCGCCTTTGCATGTGCGCATTGGGAATGATTTTGTACAAGTATTTCATGACACTCGCATGCACTAATATTTGGGATATATTTGGGCTGAATTTTGATTGTGCATTTGTTTGCGAAAACTGAAGCTGAATATGTTCATCGTTTACAGGTGGTTAACCCAAATTAAAAAAACACAGGCAAATCCTAATCAACAAATATGTTTCTGTGAAATTTTGGTTACAATATTTTAATGCGATGATTGCTTCCACTTTGTCCGGATCTTTTCGGATTGTCGTCGTTGCCTTTGACGAAATTTCATTTGCAGCAACTCAATATTGTGCAACGCCGGATGCTTCAGCCAATTGTAGGACCATTGTAGGATAGAATTGTTGTGAACAAACATCTTTGGAGAGACTAAACACGGCTATGCCGTTACGTCCAGTAAGCCCGCGGAGCGTTGCTCTTTTCAAACGATAATTCTGGTTCTCATGGCATTTGGCAACTTGCTCAGAAGGATGGCCTGCTTACTCAACAATTTGGCATCCAGGCAACGACAATTTTTCGTTCTCACCTTTTCGAAGCTGTGGATGCCCACGCCAGAATACACCAAACATGGGACGACAATTAGCACAAATTGGTACTGGTACAATCCGAATTGTAACAATCATCCTGGTTTGAGTTTACTCAACAGCATGCATGTTGGATCATGTTTGAGGAGCGGTATGTTCACTTTTGTCAGCCCTTGCATTTTTTTACCGCACCTATTTCGGCATTGGCTTCTTTGGGCGGTTTGCAATCATTGATTGTAGATTGGAATGTTTTTTTGCATTTCCCAAGTCCTCCTGAACACAATAAAATCATACTCGCGCCTTGGACAGACGAAAAACAAAAATCACTTCTGTACTTCGAGCAATCCCCACGCCATGGTTCTGACATATATTCCGGCATTTTTTCTGCCCCATTTTTCAAGCGTATCTGTCCGGCAGGGAACGGAAGGAGACGACAATCTTGATGAAATTTACACACCGCTTTGGTCTCTAGATTTCATCGGTGTGGCGTGGCAGCGTTTCCAATTTTTGTTCCGGATGATAATGACCTTTTCATCCCCTTGTGAATTTCAATTGTCACCCGGCGTGCCCCATTGTATAGGAGGTATCCTGGTTCGAACATATGGGTGCACACAAAAAATCACTATAAAATCAGGAACAAATCAGATTGCAAGAAATAAACCTTCATAAAACCAAGAAAAACAGGGCACCACATGGTTACAAATGTCTGCTTGTAAGAACGAAACTTCTATAGAACCTAGGGGCCAGTGTTAGAGTTGGAACGCCATTGTGTGTGCGTGTGAAACATCAGAATAGGTGTAAAATTTCTACCTGTTGTTGTTGATGTTCTTTGAATTTTCAGTTTCCGTTTTTTCAAATCTCACGGTCGCTCTGTTTCTTCAAACCCCATTGTCCTTTCAATTTGACGTTTGTAGCAGGGGGCCAGGAACTGTCTGTCCTGGCCAACGAAGACCAGACAGCATGGGGTTGATACCGTGCCTGCGGCAACCGGCTAAGCCAAGAACCGGCACGCCGAATTTTCAAACAACTTCTCAATCTGTTTTCTAACCAAACTGCCTCTTGGCACTTCGATCTGATGTCACTGTACGGTTTTCGCAATCTGTCAAGGTGGGAACGATTTGGCCTAAGTGGAAGGGAAGTGTCAGTTTTCAACTTAATGCATCTAGCGTGGGCTATGGCGATGGAAAGTTTTCGATACGTGCTCGGGTCTTTTCACCGACCAATTCCTTTCAGGTGTGATTGGAGTGTTTTTGCACGTACGATGCATTCCACATCTGAATTTGCAATGACTGTTCTGAGCAAGTGTGTGATTCATGCTGGATTCGTCACGGTGGCATGAACCCTTCGGGGAATACCTTCTCAGGAAAAAGAGTGAATCTTCGATATGACCTCTGAATTTACATTTTTCAACCTAGTAATTCGTTTAAGTAAAGTGAAGCAGCCAGCCTCATTTCACTGTCTCGCTTGTCGCTTGTCGTGATGTTGAACCGCGGGCTGCTGGGCCTGGCCTCACCATTTGTCGCCTGGGCCTAGCCTCTCCTGGCATAGCCTGACGACAACAATTCCTTTTTGCAATTTTGCCCAAGAGAGTACGGTGCTCAACAACTTGCATCATGTCACATGATCAGGCTAAGCTTCAGGACATGCCTTTAGGTGTGGTGTTTTTTTCTCTTGGTGGTCTCTGGTACGGTTCAAATTTGCGCGTAATTCAAGGGTTGATCACTTAAGCCGTTTACAGGGTTGACTTGATGTTAAGGCCACTGAGCCTGAATAGGGGACTCGGCATGTCAAAGTGGATGCAATTTTTTCAAACTGTCAAGTGGATGCATCTTTGTTCAAACGGTTGATTACTGTGTAACTTCCACCTGACAGTACTATCGCCATGTTTCCTGGTCGTTGGCCCAACAACTTTGAACCGATGTGGAACCCTGGCTGGTCGACGCCATCAACTACACCAGATCAGACTTTCATCCCTCAGGGCCAATTTTGTGGTGGTGATCCCAATTCAACAAACTCACCAACCATCCACGATCCCTACGCCACCAATCCATCAAACACCACCAGCACCTACGCCGAGTCAACCGGAACCACTTACACTTACGGTGACGACACCAAGTCCACCACCTACTCCACCAGCCTTCAACCCTGAAGAGATGATCAGTCAGATGAAAATAACCTTCAAAGAAGGTCTGGCTGCTGCCGTGGAGACGGCCAATGCACAACAATTTTTCCAACCCACACCACCACAACTCCACAACGACAGCCACTTTCCACCTCCCACCAGTCACATCCATGACACCACTCACTCTTCACGTCGCTCCCCCTCTCCTCATCGTTCTGAACAACCCGTCAAGGACGACAAATTTCCTATGTCGGCTCCAAGGAGCCCCCGACATCGCCCACGTTCTTCTCGTTCTAGCAGAAGACAACCACACTGACTCTCACCTCACAAGGGACGTGACAGTTCCGTCACACTCAAATCAGTCTCCCCTGATCCCCGGAATTCCAGCTACGACTTCGATCGTGAAGATCAAGCCCGCTATCGCTACATGGGCACTTTTCTCGTCCAGCTGAACTACATCCCCCCAAAGAGTACCAACAGGAGAGATCTTCCACGTATGAGGGCCACTCACATCATCAGTTCCATCAGCAGGAACCTTCCACCTGGCCAGAATGGGATATGTAGGGGAAATGGGGTGGAAACAAACACATCGTGGCGCAATTATCACAATCAATCTTGGCAAGAACAACACTACCATCCACCTCGACCAGCAGCTCGCCTGTCAGCAGCCCCATATACAGGTACCAAACCACTTACGGCATACTCTTCGTCCTATAAAAAAAACATCCGAAGACCTCGACACGCCAGCCCCGGTCTGAACCTGGGTACCATTCCAGGGGATCATCCACAATCCTTGAGGGCCATATCCAGATTTCCCTCAAAGGCGACCACAAACATGAATGGATCAAGTGGGTCAAGTTTGGTTTGAACCATAAACATCGTATGAAGGCTAAATCCGAACTTTCAGATGCTGAAAAACCAAAGCCGTGCCTCACCATCGAACATGAGCAGTTTCATCATGTTTCATCAGGCTTACAACGCCATTGGCTCAATCGATCGGGCAATTCCACCAGAAGTAGCCTCATCTCCGCTTGATCGACGACATCGACCTGCTGGAAGTGAAACTCACCAACATGCTGGCCTTAGTGTTTCCCCTTCCATCCATCTCCAGGTTCTCATTGCCTGAACCGTTCAAAGGGAAACAATATACAACCTGGGCTTTGATCCATGGTGCTCCCCTGGGGTCGGCACAAAATATATTGCTGGAAGGATTCATTCGACCGGCTAACTGGTCCTACAATCGGGATCCCAGCAAATGTGATGTTCCCATCTTTGGAGCATATTACCTTGGCCAAGAAATAG